TAATAATAGTATTATGCACTTTTTTATTTGGCGTTCACTTGGTGTGCAATTCTTTTGCCTACGAGATTTTATTCTATTTTTAAAACTTTAAGTATTTAAAATGGATTAAAAAATCATGTCTATAGCCCGAGTTCCCATCCCCTGTTGTTTTATATAAGAATATTCGAGAAAGTTTAGGGGAGATCACTCCCGGTTTTATTTCTTTAATATAAAAATTGCAATTAGACGTTTTGTATTAAATCTATGTATAAGTACATCTTAAATAATTGGAAGTATGCAACAAGTAAGAAAACAATATTACTATTGTAAATCAGTATCAGTCCCCACAAGTTAATGATGAAATCTGTAATACTAAAGCGAACATGCAAGGCAAACTGACGCTGTAAATTACATGTCTGAGGCGGGAAAAGAAAAAAAATGGAAATGGCAAGGCAAGGCAAACTGACGCTGTAATTTACATGTCGGAGGCAATTAAAAAGAATAATTAAATTGGTTTTTTAAATATTTTAAAACTTTTAAAAAAAGTTAAAATAAAAGAAATAAAATTGAAAAAAAAACGAATCAACAAGCAAAATAAACTAAAGCTGCAAACAGTCTGCCCTGGACATAATTCTAAAGCTCAAAGCTCAAACTCGTTTTGCCAGTGCAAGACAACGAACGCTCATCAGTACCAGCTGTGGGTTCAAATCCACTCGCGGCGTGTGTCGAAAAGTGCTAGGATGAATATTTTTGTGTGTGCATCCGTTACACCAATGGGCCGGCGTGGTCGGGGAGTAGAGCTCATGACTGCTAACAGGAAAGTCTCGAGTTCACATCCCGTAAGACGTGCCTGACAGTGTATCTTTCAGGCATCCCCCCCCCCCATCCCCGTGGACTGTCTGATTCGAAAGAGTATCTTGATAATGTAAAGCAATGTGTTTCTTATGGAACTCTAGCAGTGGCGTAGCAAGGTCGGGTGTCACCCGATGCGGCACATATATGGTGTCACCCCCCCCCCCCCTCAAACTTTCGATTTGCACCTCCCCCCTCAAACTTTCGATTCGCACCCCCCTCAAACTTTCGATTTGCACCCCCCCCCCCCCCTCAAACTTTTGATTTGCACCTCTTAAAAGACTACTTAACACTCGAATTAATCCCTTAATTAAGTGGAATTATCATTTTTCTCTATATATTTTGCTATTTTTTTGCCTTGGCGTCACCTCCCCCCCCCCCTAACTGGTGTCACCCGGTGCGATCCGCACTCCCCTTCCCCCTCGCTACGCCTCTTTCTACGTTGTCCCACAATTTGATCACAATTTGACCTTTTGTTTTCGGGTCAGTGTGGCGCCAAAAAGGGAATCACGTTATTCATTCAGCGGCCATTACGTGATATGTGGCTGTGATTACACCATTACATGATATGTGGCTGTGATTACACCATTACATGATATGTGGCTGTGATTACACCATTACATGATATGTGGCTGTGATTACACCATTACATGATCTGTGGCTGTGATTACACCATTACATGATCTGTGGCTGTGATTACACCATTACATGATCTGTGGCTGTGATTACACCATTACATGATCTGTGGCTGTGATTACACCATTACATGATCTGTGGCTGTGATTATACCATTAGATGATCTGTGGCTGTGATTACACCATTACATGATTTGTGGCTGTGATTACACCATTACATGATCTGTGGCTGTGATTACACCATTACATGATCTGTGGCTGTGATTACACCATTACATGATCTGTGGCTGTGATTACACCATTACATGATTTGTGGCTGTGATTACACCATTACATGATCATTGGCTGTGATTACACCATTACATGATCTGTGGCTGTGATTACACCATTACATGATCTGTGGCTGTGATTACACCCTTACATGATCTGTGGCTGTGATTACACCATTACATGATCTGTGGCTGTGATTACACCATTACATGATCTGTGGCTGTGATTACACCATTACATGATCTGTGGCTGTGATTACACCATTACATGATCTGTGGCTGTGATTACACCATTACATGATATGTGGCTGTGATTACACCATTACATGATCTGTGGCTGTGATTACACCATTACATGATCTGTGGCTGTGATTACACCATTACATGATCTGTGGCTGTGATTACACCATTACATGATCCTTTGACAGTATGGATATTATTACACCACGTTATGGTTTCAGTTGTGTCATTACATGACTTTTTGTCTAGAGTTGACTGATTTTAAATGACTTCGTGTATTACTCACCAGAATAAAAACGGTTACAGTGAATTGTGAGGGGAGCTTTTTCGCTACCTTGAATAACTATATATAAATCGGGGAAGGAGGCCGAAAAGTTGATAATTCACCCCGGGCGCCGGAAAGGGTCGCTACGCCTTTGTTTCTTGGGCATTCTATAGATTACGAAACAGGGAAACCGCCAAGTGCAGAGCAAGTTCATAAGCCTAACCCTATCAGTATCCTTAATCTTAAACCTAACTTAAACCTAACTCACCAGAACACTAAACCTATTCGTTTTTTTTTAATAAGTTCCATTTTCGAACCTGACGGTCCATGGGGCAAGTGAAGTAGAGTTCACCTGTTCCTGTGTTAGGGATAGTGTTATCCGCACTATGCCCAGCCACCTTTAATTATCCAAAGGTTAGTTAGGTACCCATCAGATCTGGGTGGACTCAGGGACGGTCTACTATTAGGTTTAGAATCAATTAATATTCTATATGAGGGATGTCCTACTGCATTTGTTTGTGCGGGTAAATATACAGGGGTAATTAATCTGGTGGGGGGGGGGGGGGTCTGGGAGGGTGTAACTTACGAGGGTGATGTGCTGTCCTTAGCTATTACATGACCGTATTGCTCTAATGTCCACTGATCTTTAAATGTCTGCCAGACTGAATTGATGAATTAGTTTATATATATATATATATATATATATATATATATATATATATATATATATATATATATATATATATATATATATATATATATATATATATATATATATATATATATATATATATATATATATATATATATATATATATATATTATAAATGTTTCAAGTAAGAAAAAATGTATACGAAAACAAGTTAATAAAAAGTCTAGTGACAATTTAAGCGCAATTTCCTTAATTAATTTTTTGTGACCGAACGAAAGGATATTTTTGAAAACTTTCTTCGGCAATATTGTTTTAAATTATGACAGGAATCTATTGGTAAATGTTTCAAGTCGCTAAGTGGTCTGGTTGCCGAGATATGGGCCAAAAACTGCATTTTTTCGGTTTTTTGGCTTTTCCGGGAAATCAAGGAAGGAATTCCGGGAATTTTTTTGGCCCACAATCATCCACAGAACTTGCTTAACATATTTGCTTTTGGAACTAGTCCTCGATATTGCTTCGTTGAGGAGGAGATACGACTTAAAGCTGCGGATACACATCCATCCATCCATCCAGAAATAACGAATTAATAATCGCAATTGTCAGTATGGAAATTGCGCTAAAAATATGTTGCTGAATTCATAGAATTCGCACTACGTAATTAATTAGCCCACTTAAGCTCGATGTGTAATATCTCCTGTTTTTTACATGCCTCTGAAACGATTCATTACCTCCCTTATTTCACTTATTCTATTGTGGCCCCTGGGGAGCAAAGGGCTACAACCACTCCACCGGACTCGGGTTTGAGCGGCTCTCTTTATTTGCGCCCACGTAAACCCGGCAGTCCTTGCCTCATCTTCTGCGGTCCCCCTTCAAGCCATTCATCATTGGCCTTTAATTACGAAACAAATTCTGTTTAACGCATTAAGTCCCTTTCCCTCACCGCCCTGGACTTAAGAAAAAGGAAATTCATTTGTAAGCCAGTAAAAGGCGAATAGAATTGAATAGCGGCAATAGAAACTAACAGTATAAAACGATTTTTAAAAAAAGCTTTTTTTTTCAATTCGCATTTAAACATTTTTATAATTGACATTTAAATTTTTATTTAAAAACATAATTTATATTTAAAACCTGTCACAGCTCAGATCAGCTGTTTGTCTTTGGTCGCCCGATGTCGGCTGTAAACCGATTTTAAAAACACGCTCGTTCGAATTCGATCAGTGTTGCTGGTTGTTCAGCGTTTAAAGGTAATGTCGCAGGTTTTGCGGGAAGAGTTTGCTTTGAGCTCAGGACGGGAAAGATAGACGGGCTGGTATAGGCGTGATACTAAAGCGTGTGACATCGATTTGTAAGCCGAGTCTAGCGGAGACTTAAACTGTATTTTTATTTGTTTTCTTCGGGCGAAGCCGATTTGTGTATAGATCTTAAATTGTTGTGTGATTTTTAAAGGTGTAGGTTGATGTGAAATACATTTACAAGAAATATGAAGCTTAGAAATAAAAAAGAGAAGAAATAAACAAAACAAGTGATGTTTATAACTAGGCACTTCGTTATAATTAATTGATAAATTGTGTTTTTCTCATATTTTTGTTTTTATATTATATTTATTTTATATTAATGCCTTTTTAAATATTATATTTATTTTATATTAACGGCTTTTTGTTTTTATATTATATTTATTTTATATTAATGGCTTTTTGTTTTTATATTATATTTGTTTTATATTAATGGCTTTTTGTTTTTATATTGATTTTATGTTAATGGCTTTTATGTTGGTTTATGTATATGTTACTGAGTTTTATGTTTGCAACATTACTTTTTTAAGGAAATAATTATTTGTTTCGTTGTATTTCAGTTCTATTTTGGGTGAAAAAAATGCGTTTTCACCACGGTTTGAGTATATTTTCTTCTGGTAGAGATATGAGAATACATCCTGTAGGTATTGGACTTTGTGCCATCAGCAATCTTCACATCGTAGAGTCAACACTAGTGGACCTACTGGAAAGCTGACCCTTTGACTTTGGATAAGGAAATACAACTCTTGCAAATTTTATTTATGGAGAGTTACCTCCTCTTGTTTCTATGAAATAGTTGTCTCCTGGTTTTAAAATATGTCCACCTTGATTACATACCCGTCTCGTCTGCGATGCAACTACTTGGTCGTACTGGCGTCGGTCGCCATGATGACGTCACAACAGAACGCGCCCGAAACCGGAAGTTCCTTCTCCATCCCCGGGCTGAACCGCACGGCCTACGTCCAGCGTGGCGACATCAACGTCGGCATCTTCCTGGGCATCTACACGTCCTCCAGCAGCGCCGGCTTCCGGTGCGACAACCTGGCCATCAACGAGTTCACCCTGCAGAAGACCGAGGCCATGGCCTACGTCACGCAGAGGGTCAACAACGACACGAGCATGCTGGTTAACGTGTCGCTGGGGTTCGTCGTGTTGGACGAGTGCGGCCACCCCAACACCGTCCTGGCCCAGTCCTTGACCTTCCTACCCCGCCGCGGTACCGGCACGACCGGCGAGGGTTACGACGTCATCGGGGTCGTCAGCCCCACCCGGAGTGATTGGACGTCCCCCATTTCCCAGCTGTACTCGACGGTCAAGCTGCCCATCATGGGGTACAAAACTGGAAGCGACGAGCTGACGGATAAATACAAGCATCGGTATTTCATGAGAGTCGTCCCCCCTGATAAGTACCAGGTGACCGCCATGTTGCATTTTATCCGAGAAATGAACTGGTCGTATATATCCGTCCTCTACCACGCCGGTAGCTACGGTGAGCCGCCTTTTGAAAATATCAAACTCAACGCCCCGAATTTCGGTGTCTGTATAGCCGCGTCTCACAAAGTAGACGAACTCACCGATCTTAGACCCGTGCTTAAAGACCTGCTGGACATCCCGCGAGCCCGCGTCGTCATCCTCTTCACCAACATCCAAGTCGTCTTCAACCTGATGGTCGTCGTCCGCGAGTTCAACGCCAGCGGGCACTTTGTCTGGATCGGCAGCAACGCCTGGGCCGGCTCGGCCACGGCCTCGTTGAAAGATTTCTCCCGAGAGGTGGCCGGTGGGTTTGTCTTCCAGCAAGTCTACGCCCGCGTGCCGGAGTTTGAAAAATTTTACCGAGCCAAGAACCCTTACAACTCCCCCAACCCGTGGATGCCCCGGGCGTGGGAGGTGCTGTACAACTGCTCCATGACGTCAGGCACGTGCCGCAACGTCTCGTCAGAACGAGATTTAGCTTTCGCAGACGATCTCTCGCATTTGATAAACGCCGTGCTCGCCTTCTCGTACGCAGCGAACCGGCTGATACAGAACGAGTGTCCGGCTGCTTCCGGCTCAGAAGCGCGTGCCTGCATCACGGGTGAGTTATTTTTACGGTATTTGCTCAACACGACATTTCAAAGCTACACCGGCCTGATACACTTCGACGACAAAGGCGACATGACGGGGACTTACTGGATCAAGCAAATCGTTCCGGAACCTTCCGGGAACCTTCTAGAAAACAACATCGCCACTTTCGATATCACAGCAAAGAGCATCGCCTTTTTCGAAAACCACACCATTTTCTGGAATTTTTTTCATCAGCTTTCCCGGGTTGTCCCGTTGCACCCGGGTCAACCCGCGTCTCAACCCGAGTCGGTGTGCAGCAGCCCTTGCCGTTTCGGCGAGTTCCGGATCCCCAAGAAGCTCGAGTGCTGCTGGGACTGCCGCACGTGCCGAGAGTACGAGCGCATCCTGCACGAGAAGGCCTCGTGCGAGCCGTGCCCGACCTTCACCTGGCCTAACCCGGACACGAACCTGACCACGTGCCAGCCCATCCCCCTGTCTCACCCCTCCTTTACCGGGACTATGTCCATCATCTTCATCTCCCTCGCCGTCTTCGCTATCCTAGCCTTGCTAGTCGTCCTAGGCGCGTACATCTACCTGTGGGAAGAACGCGTCATCAAGGCGTCCAGCCGGGAGCTCAGCCTTCTCCAGCTGACCGCCATCTTTGTCGGCTACCTGACCGTCATCCTGTTCCAGGTGACCCCCAGCCCGGGGCTGTGCAGCGCCATCTACTTCACCTTCTGCCTCAGCTTCGCCTGGCTCTACTCGCCGCTGTTGGTCAAGGCCGTCCGGATCTTCAGGATCTTCCAGAGCGGCATCAAGTGCAACAGGCGCCCGTGGTTCGTCAGCTCCAAGTCGCAGGTTGTCATGGCAACTATTCTAATCACATTGCAGGTGGGTAGCAAACTATTTTTTTAAAAATCTTATCGGAACTAATTTGCAATAGGGCAGGTGAAGTAGAGTCCACAAGAGCAAACTACTTCTTTTTTAATAATCGGAACTAAGTTGCAATAGGGCAGGTGAAGTAGAGCAAACAAAAAAATTTAGGCATATGAGACGATAATGTGTGCCCAGCTTGGTTTAATGGCCTGAAGCTGGGAGGTCCGAACTCGAGCATTGTGGGGTAGCAGTCAAGGGCTCTACTTCTCCACCATTATAACGTCTTAGTGAGTAGTTGAATGAATATTAAACTCTAAAATATTAACGATAAATTCTATGCATGTGTATACTTTATCCCACCCATCTAGGCACGTGTACACATTTAACCCTACTATTTAGAAACATAGACACATTTATCCCTACTATTTAGAAACATGTACACATTTATCCCTACTATTTAGAAACATGTACACATTTAACCCTACTATTTAGAAACATGTACACATTTATCCCTACTATTTAGAAACATGTACACATTTATCCCAACCATCTAGGGTTGTGTAAATATTATCCCTACCATCCTATGCACGTATACACATTATCTCAACCATCTGAAAGTCTACGCTAACGAATGGCAAACACAACTATTTCTGAGGTTGTTTATTTTTTTTTAATCTCAAAGTTCTATGAATATGCAAATTTTAAAAAGTAAATTAAATTAAAATTCATTAGCTTTTTAAAAAAATGTATTTTTTGAAACATTTAACAGCTGTGAAGACATAGACTACAGTACACAGCCAACAATATTGTCCCTGTTCTACAAAGCTGATTTCGACAATGACGTATTAAGAAATAGGTTTCTTGAAACTCAAAGGATAAAAATAGAAAAATAAAAAATACCGCTTATAATAATAACATGCTTTCCCATACACAAAGAAGAAAATAAAATGATTTCTTTAAATATATAATAATGCACGACTACCAAGATAATCATAGAGTAAAGCATGGGTCGCTTATAAAATTTTAGAATGGGTATTCAATACATGAAATAACATGTTTAAATAACAGCTTGAAGAAAAGCAAATGTCTGTTCGATAGCCCCGGATAAATTGTAGGCAAGCGAGCGAGAAAATCCGAGGGATTATATATTATTCACATTATGTACACTAGCCCTATTGATTTATTCTATTTGTGGTGGTTGTTTTTTTCTTTTTTTCCATTCTAACCTCCCTTTATTTCAAGTGATTATCTGCCCCTTTAAATCTGTGAGCTACCAGCCGAATTTCAAACTGTCAATTTTACATCCCTTTATTTCAAGTGATTATCTGCATCTCTATATCTGTCTTACCCCCCCTTTATTTCAGGTGATTATCTGCATCTCTATATCTGTATTACCTCCCTTTATTTCAGGTGATTATCTGCATCTCTATATCTGTTTTACCTCCCCCTTTATTTCAGGTGATTATCTGCATCTCTATCTGTCTTACCCCCCCCCCCCTTTATTTCAGGTGATTATCTGCATCTCTATATCTGTCTTACCCCCTTTATTTCAGGTGATTATCTGCATCTCTATATCTGTTTTACCTCCCTTTATTTCAGGTGATTATCTGGATCTCTATATCTGTTTTATCTCCCTTTATTTCAGGTGATTATCTGGATCTCTATATCTGTCTTACCCCCCCCCCTTTATTTCAGGTGATTATCTGTATCTCTATCTGTTTTATCTCCCTTTATTTCAGGTGATTATCTGCATCTCTATATCTGTCTTACCTCCCTTTATTTCAGGTGATTATCTGGATCTCTATATCTGTTTTATCTCCCTTTATTTCAGGTGATTATCTGCATCTCTATATCTGTCTTACCTCCCTTTATTTCAGGTGATTATCTGCATCTCTATATCTGTTTTATCTCCATTTATTTTAGGTGATTATCTGGATCTCTATATCTGTCTTACCTCCCTTTATTTCAGGTAATTATCTGCATCTCTATATCTGTTTTACCTCCCTTTATTTCAGGTGATTATCTGCATCTCTATATCTGTTTTATCTCCCTTTATTTCAGGTGATTATCTGCATCTCTATATCTGTCTTACCTCCCTTTTTTCACGTGATTATCTGGATCTCTATATCTGTCTTACCTCCCTTTATTTCAGGTGATTATCTGCATCTCTATATCTGTCTTACCTTCCTTTATTTCAGGTGATTATCTGCATCTCTATATCTGTTTTATCTCCCTTTATTTCATGTGATTATCTGCATCTCTATATCTGTTTTATCTCCCTTTATTTCAGGTGATTATCTGCATCTCTATATCTGTCTTACCTTCCTTTATTTCAGGTGATTATCTGGATCTCTATATCTGTCTTACCTTCCTTTATTTCAGGTGATTATCTGCATCTCTATATCTGTCTTACCTTCCTTTATTTCAGGTGATTATCTGGATCTCTATATCTTTTTACCCCCCTTTATTTCAGGTGATTATCTGCATCTCTATATCTGTTTTATCTCCCTTTATTTCAGGTGATTATCTGCATCTCTATATCTGTTTTATCTCCCTTTATTTCAGGTGATTATCTCCATCTCTATATCTGTCTTACCTCCCCTTATTTCAGGTGATTATCTGAATCTCTATATCTGTCTTACTCCCTTTATTTCAGGTGATTATCTGCATCTCTATATCTGTCTTACTCCCTTTATTCCAGGTGATTATCTGCATCTCTATCTGTCTTACCTCCCTTTATTCCAGGTGATTATCTGCATCTCTATAACTGTTTTACCTCCCTTTATTCCAGGTGATTATCTGCATCTCTATCTCCGTGACCTACCAGCCCAGCTCCAGACTGACGCAGCCGCTGGCTACTGAGAAATTCGTTGAGCTCTCCTGCGACCTGACCCTCCCCGGGCTGGTCAGCTTCCTGGCCTACAACATGGTCCTGGTTATCCTGTGCTCCGTCTTCGCCTTCATGACCCGGAAGTTGCCGGACAACTTCAATGAGTCGCGGTTCATGTCCATGTGCGTGTCCACCACGCTGGTCATCTGGCTGGCCTTCATCCCAACCTACCTGACGGCCATCTACCAGTACGTCAAGGTGTTGTTGTTGTCGGCGGCGCTGCTGTTGAACCACACGGTGGCGTTGGTGTTCCTCTTCCTGCCCAAGTTGTACGCTGGGATTTGTTTGCCGGCGGAGCCTGTGACCGCCAATACTAGTCACAGGTTCCAGACGGCCTTGGGGAACATAAGGTCAACCCTGCACCCACACAGCGGTCAAGTTGCCCCGCGTGAGTTTACAATCCCAGTTAGACAGGGGTTTTGAGTTTGTGATCCCAGTAAGACCGGGGTTTTGAGTTTGTGATCCCAGTAAGACCGGGGTTTTAAGTTTGTGATCCCAGTTAGACAGGGGTTTTAAGTTTTACGATCCCATTTAGGCAGGGGTTTTAAGTTTGTGATCCCAGTTAGACAGGGGTTTTAAGTTTGTGATCCCAGTTAGACAGGGGTTTTAAGTTTGTGATCCCAGTTAGACAGGTGTTTTAAGTTTGTGATCCCAGTTAGACAGGGGTTTTAAGTTTGTGATCCCAGTTAGACAGGGGTTTTAAGTTTTACGATCCCATGTAGACAGGGGTTTTAAAAATTCGTGATCCCAGTTAGATGTTAGACAGGGATTTTAAGTTTGTGATCCCAGTTAGACAGTGGTTTTAAGTTTGTGATTCACTTAGACAGGGGTTTTAGGTTTTGCGATCCCAGTTAGACAGGGGTTTTAAGTTTTACGATCCCAGTTAGACAAGGGTTTTAAGTTTTACGATCCCAGTTAGACAGGGGTTTTAAAAGTACAAGATCCCACTTAGACAGGGGTTTTAAAAGTACAAGATCCCACTTAGACAGCGGTTTTAAAAGTACAAGATCCCACTTAGACAGCGGTTTTAAAAGTACAAGATCCCACTTAGACAAGGGTTTTAAAAGTACAAGATCCCACTTAAGGGTTTTAAAAGTACAAGATCCCACTTAGACAGGGGTTTTAAAAGTACAAGATCCCAGTTAGACAAGGGTTTTAAAAGTACAAGATCCCACTTAGACAGGGGTTTTAAAAGTACAAGATCCCAGTTAGACAGGGGTTTTAAAAGTACAAGATCCCACTTAGACAGGGCTTTTAAAAGTACAAGATCCCAGTTAGACAGGGGTTTTAAAAGTACAAGATCCCACTTAGACAGGGGTTTTAAAAGTACAAGATCCCAGTTAGACAGGGGTTTTAAAAGTACAAGATCCCACTTAGACAGGGGTTTTAAAAGTACAAGATCCCACTTAGACAGGGGTTTTAAAAGTACAAGATCCCACTTAGACAGGGGTTTTAAAAGTACAAGATCCCACTTAGACAGGGGTTTTAAAAGTACAAGATCCCACTTAGACAGGGGTTTTAAAAGTACAAGATCCCACTTAGACAGGGGTTTTAAAAGTACAAGATCCCAGTTAGACAAGGGTTTTAAAAGTACAAGATCCCACTTAGACAAGGGTTTTAAAAGTACAAGATCCCACTTAGACAGGGGTTTTAAAAGTACAAGATCCCACTTAGACAGGGGTTTTAAAAGTACAAGATCCCACTTAGACAAGGGTTTTAAAAGTACAAGATCCCACTTAGACAGGGGTTTTAAAAGTACAAGATCCCACTTAGATAGGGGTTTTAAAAGTACACGATCCCACTTAGACAGGGGTTTTAAAAGTACAAGATCCCACTTAGACAAGGGTTTTAAAAGTACAAGATCCCACTTAGACAGGGGTTTTAAAAGTACAAGATCCCACTTAGACAAGGGTTTTAAAAGTACAAGATCCCACTTAGACAAGGGTTTTAAAAGTACAAGATCCCACTTAGACAAGGGTTTTAAAAGTACAAGATCCCACTTAGACAAGGGTTTTAAAAGTACAAGATCCCACTTAGACAAGGGTTTTAAAAGTACAAGATCCCAGTTAGACAAGGGTTTTAAAAGTACAAGATCCCACTTAGACAAGGGTTTTAAAAGTACAAGATCCCAGTTAGACAAGGGTTTTAAAAGTACAAGATCCCACTTAGACAAGGGTTTTAAAAGTACAAGATCCCACTTAGACAAGGGTTTTAAAAGTACAAGATCCCAGTTAGACAAGGGTTTTAAAAGTACAAGATCCCACTAAGACCAGGGTTTTAAAAGTACAAGATCCCACTTAAGGGTTTTAAAAGTACAAGATCCCACTTAGACAGGGGTTTTAAAAGTACAAGATCCCACTTAGACAAGGGTTTTAAAAGTACAAGATCCCACTTAGACAAGGGTTTTAAAAGTACAAGATCCCACTGAGACAAGGGTTTTAAAAGTACAAGATCCCACTTAGACAAGGGTTTTAAAAGTACAAGATCCCACTTAGACAAGGGTTTTAAAAGTACAAGATCCCACTGAGACAAGGGTTTTAAAAGTACAAGATCCCACTTAGACAAGGGTTTTAAAAGTACAAGATCTCACTTAGACTGGGGTTTTAAAAGTACAAGATCCCACTTAGACAAGGGTTTTAAAAGTACAAGATCCCACTTAGACAGGGGTTTTAAAAGTACAAGATCCCACTTAGACAAGGGTTTTAAAAGTACAAGTTCCCACTTAGGGGTTTTAAAAGTACAAGATCCCACTTAGGGGTTTTAAAAGTACAAGATCCCAGTTAGACAGGGGTTTTAAAAGTACAAGATCCCAGTTAGACAGGGGTTTTAAAAGTACAAGATCCCACTTAGACAAGGGTTTTAAAAGTACAAGATCCCACTTAGGGGTTTTAAAAGTACAAGATCCTACTTAGACAGCGGTTTTAAAAGTACAAGATCCCAGTTAGACAGGGGTTTTAAAAGTACAAGATCCCACTTAGACAAGGGTTTTAAAAGTACAAGAACCCACTTAGGGGTTTTAAAAGTACAAGATCCCACTTAGACAAGGGTTTTAAAAGTACAAGATCCCACTTAGGGGTTTTAAAAGTACAAGATCCCACTTAGGGGTTTTAAAAGTACAAGATCCCAGTTAGACAGCGGTTTTAAAAGTACAAGATCCCAGTTAGACAGCGGTTTTAAAAGTACAAGATCCCAGTTAGACAGGGGTTTTAAAAGTACAAGATCCCACTTAGACAGGGGTTTTAAAAGTACAAGATCCCAGTTAGACAGGGGTTTTAAAAGTACAAGATCCCACTTAGACAGGGGTTTTAAAAGTACAAGATCCCACTTAGACAAGGGTTTTAAAAGTACAAGATCTCACTTAGACTGGGGTTTTAAAAGTACAAGATCCCACTTAGACAAGGGTTTTAAAAGTACAAGATCCCACTTAGACAGGGGTTTTAAAAGTACAAGATCCCACTTAGGGGTTTTAAAAGTACAAGATCCCAGTTAGACAAGGGTTTTAAAAGTACAAGATCCCACTTAGACAGGGGTTTTAAAAGTACAAGATCCCACTTAGACAAGGGTTTTAAAAGTACAAGATCCCACTTAGACAAGGGTTTTAAAAGTACAAGATCCCACTGAGACAAGGGTTTTAAAAGTACAAGATCCCACTTAGACAAGGGTTTTAAAAGTACAAGATCCCACTTAGACAAGGGTTTTAAAAGTACAAGATCCCACTGAGACAAGGGTTTTAAAAGTACAAGATCCCACTTAGACAAGGGTTTTAAAAGTACAAGATCTCACTTAGACTGGGGTTTTAAAAGTACAAGATCCCACTTAGACAAGGGTTTTAAAAGTACAAGATCCCACTTAGACAGGGGTTTTAAAAGTACAAGATCCCACTTAGACAAGGGTTTTAAAAGTACAAGTTCCCACTTAGGGGTTTTAAAAGTACAAGATCCCACTTAGGGGTTTTAAAAGTACAAGATCCCAGTTAGACAGGGGTTTTAAAAGTACAAGATCCCAGTTAGACAGGGGTTTTAAAAGTACAAGATCCCACTTAGACAAGGGTTTTAAAAGTACAAGATCCCACTTAGGGGTTTTAAAAGTACAAGATCCTACTTAGACAGCGGTTTTAAAAGTACAAGATCCCAGTTAGACAGGGGTTTTAAAAGTACAAGATCCCACTTAGACAAGGGTTTTAAAAGTACAAGAACCCACTTAGGGGTTTTAAAAGTACAAGATCCCACTTAGACAAGGGTTTTAAAAGTACAAGATCCCACTTAGGGGTTTTAAAAGTACAAGATCCCACTTAGGGGTTTTAAAAGTACAAGATCCCAGTTAGACAGCGGTTTTAAAAGTACAAGATCCCAGTTAGACAGCGGTTTTAAAAGTACAAGATCCCAGTTAGACAGGGGTTTTAAAAGTACAAGATCCCACTTAGACAGGGGTTTTAAAAGTACAAGATCCCAGTTAGACAGGGGTTTTAAAAGTACAAGATCCCACTTAGACAGGGGTTTTAAAAGTACAAGATCCCACTTAGACAAGGGTTTTAAAAGTACAAGATCTCACTTAGACTGGGGTTTTAAAAGTACAAGATCCCACTTAGACAAGGGTTTTAAAAGTACAAGATCCCACTTAGACAGGGGTTTTAAAAGTACAAGATCCCACTTAGGGGTTTTAAAAGTACAAGATCCCACTTAGGGGTTTTAAAAGTACAAGATCCTACTTAGACAGCGGTTTTAAAAGTACAAGATCCCAGTTAGACAGGGGTTTTAAAAGTACAAGATCCCACTTAGACAGGGGTTTTAAAAGTACAAGATCCCACTTAGACAGGGGTTTTAAAAGTACAAGATCCCACTTAGGGGTTTTAAAAGTACAAGATCCCACTTAGACATAATTTTACAAGTTGTCGATTCCAGCCAGTCAGATGACTAAAATAGCCCAAGTGTATTGACAGACTTAACTGCTGAGCTGCTATTCATTACAATCGCACTTTGTCCCCGTCTTATCTCCCATCTGTGAAATGAAGCTTCAAAATTAAATTACAAGACACATCACATCAAGACGTCAGCAATTTATCCAAGTTTGTCCCTTGTGTGAATTACGGGAATTACGTGAATTATGTGAATTATAAGATTGCTGGTTAAGCATAGACGTACTAAGTCAGCAAGTTAATGCAATCATTTAAATTGCAGGATCAGTCACATGATCAGTCACATGTTTTCGATAAAATTGGACTCAATTAAGGAGGATGACACTGGTCCATTATCAGAGCTTCGGGGTGTAGTTCGTTAAGCTGGAAATATGCTTTGAAATTACGAAATACATAATTTTCAAATCACGCTTTCTTCTTGTTTGAATGAATAGTTGTAAGAAAGAATTAAACAGACTGAAATAAAGATCAAAAGATCTTTGATGATCTTGTGTCGTCTGTTAAATTG